CAGCAGCAGCAGCAACAACAACAACAACAACAACAGCAGCAGCAGCAGCCGCAACAACAACTACCAGCACCACCAAAGAAGAAGAAACACCATGAGGCTAAAAGGGAACAGAAAGAGCAGAATCTGCAGACTCTTAGCCCCGGAGACGGCATCCAAAAACAGGTGTGACAAAGAACAATATACAAAGATTTATTTCTTACAACGTCAAGACACGTACAACGTCAACATCAACATGTTGTTTTATTCTCTTCAGGTGTTAGTGAAGCAGAATGCTACAGCAGAGCAGCTGAAACAGAGGAAGTCCCTCGCTGCAGCTGAGCGAGAGGAGAACCAGAGGTTTGTTCAACGGTCAGATATTATTGTGTGTTATTGTATTCTCTGCATAGAACTGAACCTAACATCCTTCTGTCTTCCTCAGGATGATCGTGTGCAACCAGGTGATGAAGTTCATCCTCGACAAGATTGAGAAGGACGAGAAGCAGGCAGCTAAGAAGAGAAAGAAGGAGGAGGTGGTCGAGCAGAAGCGCTTCAAGCAGAACGCCACCAAGCTGACGGCACTTCTGTACAAGCACAAAGAACAGCTGAAGGCCGAGATCCTGAAGAAGAGGGCCCTGCTGGACAAGGAGCTGCAGCTGCAAGTACAGGTTAGCACAGCAAGATCTATGGACCACTCGTCAAAAAACCCACTAACCTCCACCAGCACCTGAGAGCTCTGGCTCCAGTGATCTAGGTCTAGGTGTTGGCACGTGAATAGCGTTTGTTTACTTATTGTGCAGAATCAGTTTTTTCTTCCTATCGTGCAAGATGACACACCGGCAGGGCAGAGGTGAGAGAGCGTGATGTCGAACATGACTCACCTTAGAAAATAAAACGGGAAACTCATCTCCTGACAATGAGAAAGGAGTCAAATAGTTGCAAAATACATAAGTTTCATTCTTTATCAGGCGTAACATTTACTAAGGAGCTTAAAATACTTCAAGCGAGAAACCAGAGACGATGTTCCATGTGTTCTCTTCTTCTCAGGAGGAGCTGAGGCGGGACCTGGCCAGGCTACAGAAAGAAAAGGAGAAGGCCCGAGCTGCTATCACCCAAGCTGCCGCAGCAACAGTCAAAGCAGCCCCCTCCCACTCCTCCCATCCTTCCCACTCGACACATTCCTCTCACAGCAGCCACACAGCGACCTCGCCGTCCTCATCCCATAAACGCAAGAGGGAAGAGGAGAGAGACAAAGACCGACCCAGAGATAGGGACAGGCACCACGACAAAGACAAGAAACGGGACAGGGACAAGGACAAGGACAAGGACAGAGACCGGTGTAAAGACCGAGAGAAAGATAAAGACAGAGACCGCGACCGAGAGAGGGAGAAAAACAGAGAGCGGGACAGGGACCGAGACAAGGACAGAGACGGGGACAGAGACAAGGACCGAGATTCCAGCTCATCTAAACACAAGAAGAAGAAGAAGCTCTCTTCTACCTCAAAGGATCACAAGAAGGACACCAAACTGTACTGTGTCTGCAAGACGCCCTACGACGAGTCAAAGTAAGCTCACTGCAGCACGCCAGTGTAACGCTCATGTTAACGCCCACTTTTCACTGAGACAGAACCTTTCGATGTTTCCCTCTTAGGTTTTACATCGGGTGCGACCTGTGCTCCAACTGGTTCCACGGTGCATGTGTTGGCATCACGGAGAAGGAGGCGAAGAAGTTGGAGGACTTTGTGTGTAATGACTGCAAACGAGGTCAGGAAGCGGCAAGCAACGAGGAGCTCTACTGCATCTGCCGGACGCCATACGACGAATCACAGTACGACGATACATAACTGTCCTCTGCCGTCACGGCCTCGGTGGCTGTCGCTGGTGTGTTAACCAGGATGCTTCTGATTTTCACCCGCAGGTTTTACATAGGCTGCGACCGCTGCCAGAACTGGTACCACGGGCGCTGCGTGGGCATTCTGCAGAGCGAGGCCACGCACATCGACGTGTACGTGTGCCCGCAGTGTCAGTCGACGGAAGACGCCATGACGGTCCTCACGCCTCTCACTGACAAAGACTATGAGGGGTTGAAAAGAATATTACGCTCGTTGCAGGTATGAAACCTGAGTGTGTGTGTGTAACTTTGTGCGATTGGTGATTTTGTAAAAACGATATTTTTCATTTCACCTTGATTTCTTTTTCTTTTACAGTCTCACAAAATGGCATGGCCTTTCCTCGAACCAGTGGATCCCCATGATGCACCTGATTATTATCGCGTGATCAAGGAACCGATGGGTAAGATCAAACAGCAGCGGTTGTTTAACTTATTATGAATGATCAAGCTCTAGTTGTGGAAGATGTAAATTTCCCTCTGGCTGATGAAATGATCCAGATCAATACCGTGTGTTTCATACTTTTAAGAATATTCTCCTCACTCTTCACTCATCCCTCGATCCTTTCTAGACTTTTCCACAATGGAAACCCGTTTGCAGAGGCGACATTACCACAAGCTCACCGAGTTTGTGGCCGACGTGACCAAAATCTTCGACAACTGCCGCTATTACAATCCCAACGACACGCCCTTCTTTCAATGTGCCGAGGTGCTGGAAGCCTTCTTTGTGCAGAAGCTCAAAGGATTCAAAGCGAGCAGGTGAGGCTGAGCACCCCTCCGACTGAACGCTCTTCCAGTTCCCCCAGGTTTCTTCTCGTCTTTTCCACGCTTGTGTTTTTTTTGTGCTTCAAACTTGTGACTCGGGGCCACGCTGGTTGTCATGACAGTCTCATTAATTCTTTTCCTTATTTTGCATTCGTGCCTGCCATTCACTTCTTCCTTTTTACTTCTTGCTCTGGCATGTCTGTAGTCATGGTATTTGGCTGGAGAATGAGTTTTACACATAGACTAGAGTTGGCTTTAAACCTTTAAATGGTTTTAACGGAGGCTTGGTACTAAAACCAACAGAGCTGGCGACGTTAAGACATTAATGCTACATCCACACTGACACGTAGGGATGTCACGAGAACCGATACTCGCTGAACCTCTGCTGTCATGGAGCTACAACTGAAATCTCATAATCATGCCACTGTTCTGTTTTAAGATAATAGTCTTTTCTTTTTGTTTAGTAGTTGAAGGCAGTGCTGCTGGACTGGGACAACAAATCGTCCCTGACCAGTCCCATCTATCCAAAGTCTCCACGCCTCCCTCGCGTTTCTTCTCTATTTTATTTTCAGATTCATTATTTAATGAAATCAATTACAAGTGTTATTGACGCTGTTGTCTTTGCTAACAGCTGCTGTTATCATGTGTAGGAGAAGAGCTGTTATTCAAACAAAAACTGATGCAGAGACAAAACACTTGTGTGGACGGAGTTCAGTTTGAAAAGGATGTAATCAAACAAACGTACTCGTATGGATGTAGCCTCAGTCCAATGTCTTAACAAACCTTGGTGCCGTGTTACACCTGTGTCATGTATCATCTTGCATTTGTGTCTGTTCACCTTTGCTGCATGCTTTTTATTTATGCCATCCCCATTCTCTTCTTTCTTGCAGATTGTCAGATTCTTAAGTGGGCCAGTCTAGCTGGAGTCTGGACTGGATGCCGGGGTTTCTTGTAATAATGACCTGGGAACGCTCTGTTTCCAGAAAATCACAAAACAAACTCCATGAATCGAGAAAAAAAATTAAAAAGCAACATCACAGTAACACACACTTAAACACCAAGTGTGCAAACATTCAAATGTCCAAATATTTGGTAATCATGACTAATTGGCAGCCATGTTGACAAAGTGTTACCCATGTAATTGAGGGACATGCTTTCTTCCAATCACTGTCGCTACGTTGTCTTCAGTGAGATTTTAATGCATTTTAGTTCTTAACTTTGTATTTATTTTCAGTTACTCATCTAAGTTGAACTGGACATGTTGAGAATGAAGATGTCACCAGATATAAGAATATAATAAAGCTGCATATTTTATTATAGAGAGATATTTATATGAAATTTTGTATGTTAGTTTGAAGAAGCTGGTTGTCTCGAGTGTACCAACGTTTTATCATGTACAATGGTTGTAAGATATCTGACTTTGAATGTTTTAAATGATATTGAAACAAAAACGTTTTAGAAAGTATTGTTTTAGAAGACCAGAGTTTCACTTCATAACATGACCTCAATTTTTTTTGTCGGTGATAAAAGCATTCCCTGTAAATTACACCAACATGGCTGCAGGATCCCCCGTCGATCCTTTCACATTCTCTCTCTCTCCGTGTGTTCTTGAGCTGTCGTGACAGTTACAGAAAAAAAAATGTGAAGGGCTCTCAACTTTCCCCTCTCTCCACATCCTGTAGGTCTCATAACAACAAGCTACAGTCTTCTTCAGCCTCTTAGAAAGCGTCGCACATTGCTCAAAACAAAATGCACTTACCAAGAATATGGCTTTTCTGAACTGTAAGTCTGTGACGGACTCTGCCTCACCCCGGTGTTTGGGATCTGCTCTTCTTGAGTGTCGGCGCAGCCAGCACTGCTGCTTCTCACGGAACCGTTCAGGCGAAGCTGCCGTTGGCCCATTTCAGCTCTAAGGGACCTTTTTTTGTTTGGACCTTCATCAGTGGGACTGTACTAAGGAGCGTGAGCAACTGAGGCATTTCAGAAGAAAGTTTACCTCGGAGAAAAGACTCTTACGGAGCTCTCATATTTCCATGTACTTTATTTTTTTGATCTCAATCTTTTTATTTCACTTT